TCTTTGTAAGAAATGCCATCTTAAATGAAAAAAATAATTGCATTCGATAGATTTCAAGAAAAAGGGTTAATATATAATCAATAATTTTTGTCTACATGATCTCTATCATTATTCTAATCCTTATAATTACAAACTTGTATAAGTGATATGTTTCGACCAAGATACATGGCCATTTGCTTTTGAAATTATTGAATTGCACGACGTGATCGTCATAAAATAATATCAATTCAACATACGTATGATAAATGGCAATCTAGAGACGTAACTATGAATTGTTTTATCTTATTATTTATCGAACAAAAAGTACAGCGACCAGAAGGCCAAATATATGGTAAATCTTTACTCTCGCGATGGGTTATCATTCAGGATGAATAAATGAAGCTGTACAGTGTATTGTTTAAGGTCTATGAATGTCTTGAATCCTTAGAATTTAAAACCATGATTGAAAAATTGCACGTGGATGAGAGCGTAAAATGAATTTCAAAACAGAAAACTGATAAAAGTAAAAGAAATATGTTGATGTTTACCAAACTAAAACTGACAATGCATGTAAGCTTTTGGTAACTTCTTTATAACAACTTATGTTCTTGTACTTCGTTAAAAAATAGTATAAAAGATACTTAATTTAGTGCCACCAATGTTGAGCTTGTTGATGAACCTTGCAAATCAAATTATCAATGAACGAGTTTATTTTTGATGTGGTATTCGATCAGTGAGCACTATTTATTCAATATATATTACTGAAGTCTTCATGATTTGCAGACACACATCAATTCAAACAGTTGGAATATCATTGTTTATAATGTAGTACGTAAAGGTTTATGTATCAAAGGAGGTAATTTAGCATAAAATGATTTTGAAAATTTTGAATTTATCCTAGAATACAACTGCTGCCTTCCTTGGACAATTTTACAAACTTTTGGTCATTCTTCGATTTACAATTTTTAATGAATTAATTACAAATTTATTCTTTTTTATGTGTTACTAGCTCGTGCTGAAACAGAATATATTCAACAAAACCCATTGCTTTCGAAGAACAGGCAACTAAATGTCTAAAACCCCTGATATTAACTTCGTTGAGAATTGATGAAACAAGTATAAGCTTAATTGACTAAAACGGGCTCGTAACATGTTCGATGATCAATCGAAGAAAGTTTGATTTACCATATCTATACTGGATTCCAAAACTTCATAAATCCTTTCAAATATAGATGTATTTCTGGGTCCAATAAATGTTAAATCAAGCCCCTATCATCACTCCTCACCAAAATATTACATGTTGTGAAGAAAAGCTTCAGACAGTCTATGCTACAATAAATTCAAGAAGTGGTGTAAATCAATTGTGGATTCTCAAAAACTCTAGAGAACTTTTGTAAAATCTAAAATCTCCAAACTTTTCAAAAATCAATAGCATAAAAACAGGCGACTTTTCAACGCTTTATATAACTTTTCCTCAAGATAAATGAAAGAGCAGACTTTTGGGTCATAGACAGCTGCTTGAAACTTTCATATCTTGTGATTGGTCTGATTCTACACACAAGTACTCTGAAGTAGATATTATAAAGATGCACCCTCATTGGCAATATCTCTGTAGTCTTTGGAGACCAGATCTCCGTGGCTTTCAAAATCAACATTTCGATATATCGACGACGTTTTATCATTTAACAATAGTTATTTATATTCGTATGTACACTCGATATACTAGTATTCAAATGAACCCGAAAAAAGGACACCAAAGAGTCTGCCACGTCTCCTTCGTACTTGGATATTTCACTGACTAAAGCCGTTAATTGCCAACTCACATCTACCAGTAGACTATGTGAAAAATGAGATTGCATAAGATTTTCTATAGACAACTTTCCCTGTTTATGTTGTTTTATTCCACCATCACATGCATAAGGTGTTTAAGTCTCACACCTGATTCGGTACTCAAGAGTATGTTTTGAGTACGATCAATTTTTTTTCAAACAGAGGCAGGCTACTGACTAATAAGTTGATGTTACATGTTTTAATCACCTTGTTCAAAGTCAGTACATGTATTTTTCAAATTCTATGATCGTTGTAATGACTTTCCCAAATATGACCTATTATTTGGTCGTATTTTGACTGACATGTTTCCCACCAATTGTTAATCCATTGTTAGGCCACGGATCCAGAAACATCAAAGGGTAGGTATGACATACATGTAGGTATCACGTAAAGCTTATTCAAGACATCTTCCCAAGTCAAGGGTTTCTGGTCCACTCCGCTCCACATAAATCTTGATGTGGATGAGAGTGGATTAGAAACCCTTGACTTGGGAAGATTATTTAAGCTGATATAAAAAAAGAAAATTATGTGTTGATGTACAGAATTCTGTCTGTCAACTGCCTTTCCACTTTCTCCGTTTTTTTTTTTTTTATTTCCTATACCATCATAACCATGCAAGGTTGGTCTAAGGATTACTAAGAATATATAAGGGAATTACCTGACCATGCAGCTTTTGAAATGTGTTGACTTCTCGTTAACAGGTTCATGTATCTCTTGCTTTGTTTGCTTCACTTTTCATGTCTTTCAATTCATGTGTAGAAAAATCCATAATTACCAGACACAACTATTTACAAATTCCATTCTTACTTCATAACTATTTCATTATTTTACTCAGTTTCACACTTTGATCCCTTAAATGATAAATTACCACTTTCAGTAACAAAATTGAATGAAAAATAATTTTAATAACTATTTTTGTCATGCACGTCAATTCGGTAATTACTAAATAATTCAATGTATTTTAACCAAAATTGAAAAGAAATTTAATCGACATATTTTTTCTGCGGTAAAAAAAATTTAAAACAAGACTTTAAGGTATTTTCCCTTTGATAAGGGAGATAACTTTCTAAGGAAATTAATCCAAGAATTCAATGAATTGTCTTACCAGAGCTTAATAATGAGGATTATTATATGATTGAATAGTTCCCATCTCTCTGATTGGCTGAGATCCAACAATGTTAGAAAAACATACGTTATATTGACCTGCACGTGACCTTCCAGGTCGATATTAGGAATTATTTATTCTACATTGGACCAAAAATAGATAGGGAAAATCCAAATTGATGCAAATAGTTTTGGAAAGTTATTTCACGTGCACCTGACTTCCACTCATATAAACATAACATTACGGCACATAGATTCTTGGGTGAGAGGGACGGGAGGGGATGCAGGAGGCCTGCCCCTCTTCCCAGCTTTTGAGAATGTAAAGTTTTAATTTAAATTTTAAGGAGAAAAATTTCAATGAAAGCCCCCCTTCCCTCGTTTATGGACCGTTACACCCCACCAAATAAAATTTTGAGTTGGGGGGGGGGGGTAGTCTAAGATTTGTTTTCAGGTAAGTTGTCTTTTTTTCCCTTTTAATGCCTCCTTTGTCAAAATCAATCCTATATATGTGCCTGACATTTATTTTCTTTCTACATTGCACCTAAACTAGAATTAAAAATTCCGAAATAATACAACTGTTTTTTTTTAAACCCCGTTTCTCTCATTATGGTCGACTAATACTTCAGTAGATGTGAACAAGTAAGATGGCATGGATTGCTTAATGAGTGTGTGTCATTTAATCATATAATAAAACAATTATTGCTGGTTTTTCGGTCAATACGATGATTTAGCCACCTTCGAAGTACAATATTCACCTCGCCCTTCGGGCTCGGTGAATATTGTACTCCTCAGGTGTCTAAATCATCGTATTGACCTCAAAAACCAGCAATAATTGTATACCATTATTTAGTCAACTTATTCAAACCTGAACTATGTTACAAATATTGATTTCTATTTTCTATATTGGTATTAATTACTTATAATAGTTGACCTAAAACATTTATACTCATTTTCCTTTAAATTGTTAAAATTGAGATATTTCTATCTCTTAGCATAAAATTCTTTTAATTGTTACAGAAAATTCAGATGCAGAATTTTTATAATCAATTAATTAATTAATTTTTTTTTTTCTTTTCTTTTTTTTTTTTTTTTACAAAAAAGATATTTTGAATAACTATAACTCCTGTGGATGGATCCATTTTTATTTTACAAGCAGAGAAACAATTTGATATTCTGATTAAAAAGCAACGCTTCATTATGTTTTCTAAAGTGAATTAGATAGGTATGATAGTAAATATTATTTTCATATATACCTCATATTTTTGACTTTATGGGTGAGATAAAAAAAATTATTAATCTTTCTATTTACCATATCAAATTTTGTTCATATCATGATTAGAAATGATATTCATTTCTGAAAAAGTAAGCAACGCTTCATACTTCAAACTATTTTCTATTTGAATGTAATGCTATTGTTGTTGATGAAAATCAATGTTGTGAATTTAAAAAAAATGGTGAAATTTGGAGCAGAGGGATAACGTTATATTACCTAAAGAAGACTACCCATCTTTTATTTACGTACATGTACATATGTACGATTGGCTACGAAGACAAAGAACTTTTGGTAAAAGAAATAAAGATATTATCCATCTTTTAAAAGTATGATAATTCTTTTTCAGTTGATTTGAGATATAATTTGTAAAACCAAAAAGGTTCTTATTTTTAAGGATTAAAGACATGAAAAGTTTGCATATAGCGAAGTTTTGACAAACCCATATCCATTGGGGAAAAAATGCTAATTATATATGTCGGAAAAACAAAAGTTGTAACTACGTACCATTTCATTGTTATTCTATGTCAAGGCAACGCGCCTAGATTATTAGAATGCATCATAATCAGTATCTCTGCAGACTCCATCAATCTCTTTTTGATTTTCAACAACTAGAAAAATTGGCATATTCCATGATCATGATGATGCGCACTATTTCATAAAAAAAAAAAAATATTAGAGGTTTGTAAATATGTCGCATTGGGGCCTCCGTATATTATGAGAGAAATGGTCGCACTGGGCCACCATATGCATTTCTGGTTTCACTTTCAGTACGAAACAAAGTGATCATGAATTCTCGTAATTAAATATTAATTTAAAGGAACAGAATAAATAGGGATTTGCTCACATCAGCTGTGGATGACTGTTTGCACTTGTGATGGATCCTGAGAAAATGCGGGAATCAAATTCTGGTGAAGAGTTTTTGTGTCCGAAGAGCACATTAGATTGGGATCGTCATTTTGTTGAGAAACTTGGGGTTAATTTTAAAGAAGAAGACATCTACAGAATAATTACATCTGAATGGTCGCTGTTTCATTTGGATGCAGACGACTATTGTGAAATTGACAGGTGTGTTAATGCCTGCAACCTTAAACTGGATTACGAATCCTTGGAGTCTTTGCCTCCAAACATTGCTACACCGATTGAAACATTTGCAAGTTCGTGGGAACCAACTAGACAGCAGTTGAAAGTGATTAAATCAGAACCCTTATTGGAAAAGTAAGAATCTATTTTTCTACAAATTATCAGGCCTGGAAACAATTTTAGTCAAAAAATAGGGCGGGGGGGGGGGGGTACCTGTTATCCTGAATATCTTTAAAATATGTATCTGACTCTCAAGTTAAATATTATGTTTTTTAATTTGTTTAAACTTCATATTGCAGGTTTTTATTAAAATTGGAGGAATTTAATTACTGCTTAGCACAAATAATTGCAAAAAATAAGCCCAACACAAGCATATCAGATTGGAAATACCAGGTCTTGTTTGAGAAGTTGCTGCAGTTATTTGGTATTAATACTTGGTAAGTACATCAAAATTATGTAGCTTAGCCCCTGTTGCAAAAATTTATTAATATTGTAACAGGAGAGGAGAAAGGTGTGATGGACCAGACAGGGATTCGAACCAAGGCCCCCTGAATCTCCAGCCAGGTGCTCTACCAACTGAGCTCTCTGGCAACCTGCAGTCAAACCCATCTGACCGTCACATTCCTCCCTCCTTTTTAAAGGTCTTCTCCCATAAAGTCACTAACCCAGGTTCTTCCCTGGCAAGTCTTACATCTGTCACTTCCAGGGCACAGCACCAAATGTAACAAGAGAGGAGAAAAATTTGATGGACAAGGACCGGGATTTGAACCCAGGCCCCCTGAATCCCCAGTCAGGGGCTCTACCAACTGAGCTATCTGGCCACCAGCCATCAAATCCGTCTGACCGCCACAATATATTGGTAAATTTTTCATGAAGTTTATTATTCATTCTTAATTTGTTTGATCTATAATTCAAATTCTTTGTTGAAATCTACTTAAATACACTAGAGCAACTTTATACATGTGTGAGAAATATCCCTGAGATTTGCAAACAAATTGTGGAGCACATGGTTCAGCATTTTCGCAAGCCAAGGGTTTTCGGTCTGCTTCGCTCCCAACAAACCTTTGGCAGAGAATACACCACTAAAACTGTGGCTGATATGCAGTTTCCTTGGAACCAATGAGGAGACAGCTTTCATGTCACATAATGTCATTTATTAAAACAACAGATGAACAGTCATCTATAATTGTTTTAACTTTTGTGACTCCATATTCTTCATATTTTATACACCTTTAATTCCCTCCTGTAGTTCTTCATTCTCTGTTTTTGACTCCATCTCCAATTCTTGTTTACAGTGGATACTGAATTACAGTTTGAAAACTGTTACCTGATTGGCTGGAATCCAGAAGTTAAAATTTAGTGCGTCCAGAAGATGTTGCTTATAGCGGCCAAAGTTTTGATGGTGTAATCTGCCAAGGGTTTGTGGGGAGCGAAGTGGAACGAAAACCGTTGGCTTGCGAAGATGATGATGACTCAGTGGTCATAGGTGTTTGGCCAGTAACCAAAGGACACTAGTTCAAGCCCTGCCACCTCATGTCACTAAATGTTGTGTGTTGTGTCCTTAGACAAGGCACTTTATCTGCATTGTCTCGTTCTACCCGCTGCAATGGGTACAAGCTTATGCTGATGTTAACTTGCGATGGCCTGGTGTTCCATCCTTATGGCTCATCAATTTTTTTTCTTAATTTTCAAACAACCCCAACTGGTATATATTAGTGGTCTCAAAATAACTTAAGACTTTAAAAAGTTTGTTCAGCAGGATATCTTGAATATATTATTTGTCATTGACTAGTTGTCATTTGACAATATGCAATTAAAACTTTCTTGTATAATAGTTGGTTTAAAGTTATTGTCTGTTTAATTCAAGGACATTGAAATTAAACAAAAAATATCAAACGTGTCACATGTGGACTCTATAGAGTTTGAATAGGACCTCTTTAGCTAATTAAAGCACAAAGTCTTTAGAGTAATGTTTGAAAATTACATATACTAGATTGAAAGATGAGTAATTGTTAAATTGACAGGGTCATTTTAATAAGTATTTAATAGGAAAGGAGAAAATGTATGGCTGGACCGGAAATCAAACCTGGGACCCCTGCATCACTAGTCAGGTGCTCAGTCGACTGAGCTACCCAGGCCGATATCCATGGCCGAAACCATTACATTCCTGCTGCCTTAAATTGTCTTCACCCTCTAAGACACAACCCAAGTCTTACTGCCCCTGGCAGGACTTTCACCTGCAAGTCCAGCGGCGGTCAATGGCACCAAATTATGTAACAGGAAAGGAGAAAATGTATGGCTGGACAGGGAATCAAACCCAGAACCCCTGCATCACTAGTCAGGTGCTCAACCTACTGAGCTACCCAGGCTGATGGCCATGGCCCATACCATTACCAGCTCTTTAGCCTATTTTCAGAGAGAGATTTAATTAAGGATAAATAACACAAACAAACTTTTTTCGAAATCAGCAATATTTTTTATTTATTTATATTCAAATGGGTAACCTGAATAATGTCTGCCATGTAAAGTGGGAGAATTTAGTAAGATTTTGTCACAATTATGTTAAAAATACATGCAAAATTTGTATAGAATTGTATAGAAACCAAAACAAAGTCACAAATTTTAGCACCAAAGAAAACGTACGATTTCTTTATATTTTAGGGATTTATTATTAAGTCATTTCTATTTGAAATCAGTCAAAAAATATATATCAATCCAGGCATCGAATTTTTGATTGTGTTATGTATCCTTAATGCTTGAATGTATACATGTAATACTCATCACATCTATGTAAAATGATATTTTCTGGTGATGTAGAATTGGGTGATAGACAGTACATAAGGCATTAAAATATGCATCCTGCAACAAGAAGTATATGTATATATACTTTTAATTATTTTTACATTGAATAAAGGTCTTTTAATTATAAATTATGAATTCCTATTTGTTTAAAGGACCCAACCATTTATTGAGACTAAGAAAGCTATGATCATGGGTAGGACTATGTCATCTAAAGCTGACCTTCTTTGTTGCCGAACAGATCCTGGACTTCAAAGGCCAGTTCTTTGTGTTTGTGAGGTAAGAATGTTTAATTGTTCACCTGTCTTCAAACCAGAATTGTGATAAAATGCTATAAGATAAAGCTGATTGAAAAGTATGAAAGGAAGACTCAGTTCAAGAGACTAAGAACTTCAAGAGATCAAAGATCAAAGAGATCAAAGTTTGAGTCACCAGGAGTCACCTGTAATTACATGTAATAGGACATGTTTTCTCAATTTACATTACATATGATATGATAATTAAATTTATCTGTAGGTACGGAGAACTTGTCATGAGGAGGACTTTATCTCTCCACCAAAGAAACCCAGAGTTATCTACGAACAAGATGCAGCCAATAATTCCAAAGATGATCTCAGTATTTGGTCCAAACATATTGGAGACCTATTTTTGTACCTTGATAAGTCACCAAGAAATGAGGGAATACTTGGTATCACTCTTGAAAAGACATGGGTATGCAAAAATTATTTCAATCTTTTAAATGAAGCTCAAATGATTAAAATTTCAAACAAGCCAATTTAGGGAATTTGTGTCCCCAGCTTATGGAAAAAAAAGAAAAGGGTGGAAGACCATAAAAAAATGAAGATGGAGAAAAATAAAAAAAAAAAAGTCTACCTTGACCTTTCAGCTTTTGGCCTTAGGCCAAATAAAAAAATATGTGTGGTTCCGGTTACCCGACCTTCCCTATTTTATACCCCCGACCCTAAACTTTTTTGGCAATTTTCATATTTTTTCCGGAATTTTCCCCGATTTCCATTAATGGCTACAGTTTAAGTTTTAGTTTCAGCAATGACAGCCTCCTTGCAATACATAGTGCAAGTGTTTAATAGTGTTAAATCCAAAGCAAGCTAGCATGTAGGTGTCCCCTACCAATATTGACTAGTATATTATCACACCTCATCTAAATGCCATTTGCAAAGGAGTGATAGGTATTATTTAGAAAAATTAAGAAAATCATTTTGTTAAAAAAAAAAAAAAAAAAAAAATCCCTACCTACCTACCCTAATTTTTTCGGAAGTGTAACCGGAACCACACATATTTTTTTGTTTGGCCTTAAAGTCTATATTGACCTTTTTTAAGCTAAAGAAATTTGTGACCTTACAAAGCTTACAGAGAACTAATGTTATCATCTGAAAACTATGTATGCAATATAGAATTTCTAACCTTGGTCTTTGACCTAAAAATCAATAGAGGTCTTCAGAAAGTCATATTGATGAAAAGTATGAATTTTCATTGTAAAATCATGAAGAGAGGTAAATTGAAGCTATTACCAGGAAACCATTTTATGCAAGATATGAATTTTTTACCTTGAAATTTTGACCTGAAAGTCAATAGGTGTATTCTTTAAGTCATTGGGAGTGATAAGATTTCATTGAAGACACTCAAGGACAACAAAAAAAGCAAGTTATTATCTGGAAATCATTTTTTGCAATGTATAAATTTCTGTTTTTGACCTTCAACTCTTTGAACTCCAAATTTATATTAGTTTTCTTTAGGCCATAGGGAGTTATTATATATAAAATTGCAAAAGCTCAAAGACTTCCTGAAATATTGTTTGGAAATGAAAGTGTTACACAGAGACAGAATGTTTGAACTTCTGACTTTGACCTTTTGACCTCAAAATCAAATGGGGTCTGTTTTAGGCCATAGGGAGTTGTTATGGTCAAATTTCATAGCAAAAGCTCAAAGGCTTTTGAGACATCATCTGGAAATGAAAGTGCTACACACAGACAAAAAACAACTGGACGGACGGACACAGACCCAGATTAATATCCTCCTCTTTCAGAGAAAGTAGGGGACAATTAACTTCCCATAACAAAGGATCACTTCATTTCCCAAAAAGGAATTGACATAATTATAAGAGAGAACAATTTTCTGGAACAAGTTACATTTTCAGTATCAATGTTCATTGGTTATTTTCTACCATAAACGTGTCTAAAAGTTGACTATTAGCAGTACGAAAATTATGTTAAAGTTAACTTAGAACCGCATTTTCCTCAATCACCGATTTTTGCATGAATTTTGGCCTAAATCTCACTAAAGGTTGGCCTGCCTTTGAATAAATATTATGTTATTTGAAAGGTTGTGATATAAGGAATTTTTGAAAAAGGAGTTTTTAGGAGCCCTTGCTCTATGGTCCAAATTCACAAAACCTACCAAAAAGGGGGGGGGGGGCTGTTTCTGGCAACCTGGTTCTTATTTTTACGGTTTTTACTTACAGTCTGCATACTTCTGTTAGACCACTGACTATTAGTTCCATAATCTTTTTTTTTTGAGTTATGATTCGAATATTAGTGCAAATATTTTACAGTTTTAAATTCTGACCTTTTCAAACACTATTTTAATTTTTTTATAGGGGCTTGTGTATTTTCCTCAAGTTCAATTATCTATCTTTGAGGGGGACTGGTCTTTTGATATGAGAGGTAACTTCCCAAGTAAATAATCCTAAAGTTACCCTTAGTTTGTCGTACTATAATTCAGTAATGGCGACCTTTTAACCAAAACCAATGAAAGACAAAAAATTGACTTCTATATTCTTTTGCTAATATTTTTCATCTATACTGATTACATTTGACCTAAAACGTTTGCATCTAGTTCTTTAAGTATTACAATAATATAGTTCTATTTTTTATGAACAGTTTTGAAACTGCAGTAATACATCATGACCACATAAAGCATTTTTATTAGTATTCAAATTTTTTTCTAGAAAAAAAAATCTTAAAGGTGCTTAGACACAGATTTGAACTTAATATTTTCTCAAATTTTCTGTATATCACAACTTATATATTGCAATAGCATTTCACACGAAAATATAATTAAAAACTTATTTTATCTGGATATTATTGGAACTACGAATTCCGGGACGCGTTTGATTAACACATCGTTGCACTTACACAAATTTTAATTTTATCCTTAATATTTAAGAAAAGAAGCGATTTTGTTATGAAAAATATTACATCTATAATCCAGAAAATTCAGAGTAGAAATGTTCGAAAGCAAAACCAACTCACCAGTATTGTCAGTCCGTGCTCTGTGATGTGTACAGAGTTTTACAAATTGAACAACCCGTGAAACGTAAACTGTTTTTGTAAACAGGGCACGAGATTTGTTATTGTTAATGTTTACGATTCACCGGGTGTGTTCAATTGTTAAACTCTGCACACACCACTGAGCACGGACTTACAATACTGTGAGTGGGTTTTGCTTTCGAACATTTCTACTCTGAATTTTCTGGGTTATAGTTTTAATATTTTTCATTAATACACAACAAAATTACCACTTTTCTTAAGTATTAAGAATAAAATTAAGATATGTAAAAGCGCAAGGATGTGTCAATCCAACGCGTCCAGAAATTCGAAGTTTTAGTAACTTCGAGATGAAAAAAGATTTTTATTATATTTTAGTATGAAATGCTATAGCAACATACTCATATAAGTCATGAAATTATACAGAAAATTTGAGAAAATATTAACTTTAAATCTGTGTCCAAGCACCTTTAAAGAAAGATAAATCTTGCTGCTTTGTACAAGCACAAAATAATACTAATGTGATATTCTGTCTTAAAAAGCAGTGCTTTATTATGTTTTTGAATATGAATTTAATATGTATGACACAAAACAATATTTTCATATATACCTCAAAGGATTTTTAATCTTATCCCGTGATAATAAATCATTGTTTTTCTCTGTGTCAAATTTTCTTCATATCATGGTCAGACAATTAATTCATTTCTGAAAAAGTAATCACAGCTTCATACCTCATACTATTTTCCTTTTGAATCTAATTCTATAGTTTTTGATAAAATCAATGCTAAGAAATAAAAAAAAAAATTGAGAAATTTAGAGCAGAGGGTCATATATTGTAACTCCTTAATGCATGTTCATTTCTATGAAAATATGTTGTAGAATGAATTCAGTACTGATACTACCGGCACATTAGAAATGTTTTCAATCATGCCAAACAGTAAGACTGCTGTTGTATGTTCATATAGCCGAGGGTGTTTTACCATAGAACAATTGAAGATTTTGCACAAAGACTTCACTGGAGCTTTAATAACCCCCCACCCCTCCCAATGCACATTAGTGAAATCTTTAAGATACTAGTATTCAAAGATAATGAAAAGCATATTGCATGGAAGCAAATAATTTAAATATTATAGCAATTTCAGATTAATAATTTGTCTCTCATATACATGCACATGTAAGCTTCTTGCAATTCTGGTAAAATGTATCTCATATACGAATACTGTAATATTTTTCAGGTACGATTTACCTTCCTCAAAGTTAAAGGTCCTTGTTTGGAGGAAATTCGAAATAGACCAGGAAATAAACCTGGGCCTGTGAATGTTGAGGAGGAAGAACGTCCAATATTTCGCTTCAGTAGAGGCTACAATTATTTAAAACAAGACGATCGCAAAACTGTGTTCAAAGCTCTCTTGCTTTTTAGAATGATGCAAGTTAGGTTTGAAAGGGGTGCTACTGCCGTGCTGTAGTTCATTTAACATTGCAGACGATTTCAATCAATTCCAGTTTTATGTTTTAGCTCACACATTATATCGGCTGGGTGAGCTTTTCTGTTCAACATTTTATTGAAAAAAATTCTTGTACTGTAACACTGCAGACAAGAGGGTAAGATTAACGAAAGTGAAAAAAGAGTAATTGTTGAAAAAAAAGAAATGTTTGTTCAGAAGGGAATGAATAAAAAAACGAATGAAATATGTACAATCATGTATTTTCCACAAAGTGTGTTTCATTACTTTATATTGAATTTATAAAAAAGAAACTTACAACAGAAGATAGGAGTGCAGTAGAGATTTATTGTTTTAAACTTAGAAAACCTACACAGTCAGAGGAAAGTGACATCTGTAGTTAAATCAGGCCCCAGGATCATGAAACAGACTTAAGTCAAATTTTCAATTACCTGTAAAATGTTTACTAATTGTTGAATTTATCTCTAAATTTGCAGACAACACTTTTGTAAAGCAAAATTGAAAAATATTTAATTTTAATTTTGTTCTGATTGACCTTTACAAAAACTAAATAGAACATAAAGATTTTGACTTAAGCTTAATATGTTTCATGATCCCGGTGCCAGATGTGGAAGCTGAAAAATTCCAAGGAACTTTTGGAACATTTGAAATCACAAAAAATTTACAAAATCAACAACATAAAAACTTTCCAACTTTATATACAATTATTCCCCCATGATAAATTAAAGTCCAGTATAATCCAGGCCAGGTGATAAAGGGACTTTTTCAAAAAGTGTTGAGGGAAGCATAATCTGTTGAAGAAAGTTTTTTTAATAAAAGAAAAAAGGTTATGACAAGGTGTGACCGGTCGATAGGGGATGCCCACTCCTCCATTGCACCTGGGTTTATATGCATAAAAATTCTTAAGTCCTTAAGCATATATACTTAAGTACTGTTTTCCTGCTTGGCATATTTTTCATAATATTATTTGTTTGCTTCTTCATCGAGACATGTGTTTGAAATGTTTACATTTAAGTGAAAGCGGAAGTGACTTTATTGACAATTTTTATGCATACGAACCCTGATCCCCTCTGTTTTCAGAGGTCTGTGATTTCTCTGCTCCCAGTTTGTATTGTTTTAATAGACTTTTGAGCTTGATTTCTGTTTATTATTTTCATATTTCATTAACTCATTGAATGAATATTTGAATATCCGTTGGCATCCCTAATAAAAATAAATCATGCGACTGGTTTAGTTGGTTAACAACAATATCTGTCGAAGAAATCTCAGTCAAAAACCTTGTTGACAAAAGGGATATGCTATGGATATTTAAATTAAAGAGACCGTGTGACTTCCAAAAGCTCGACAGACTCTAAGGTGAGAATCACTTGAAATTACCGTTTAATATAATTTGTATCATGTTCTGAATTGCAGTCCAGCCCTGGCAATTTCCATATGCATGCACTCCCCTGTGTTCTTTCCTATATAAGTACGCTGCTTTCGATCCATTCCAGTTCCAATTACTTTTTTTACATGTACGTCCAGGGTCAGTTAGAGATTTTGGATTACCAGGTGTTCATTTGACTCCCATCGCTTTGTTTCCAAAGCCACTGCACGTGCTCAAGCTTTGCATTTTTAAGCGCTAAGCGCAGCGCAAAGCGCTTACTGTCATCTTAATACTACTTCCGTTCGCGATCCAGCGCCACTTAGCAAGTAAGATAACTCCACCGAGTCTTCTAAAAATATGCAACTGGAAATCCCCAACTCGCTTTCGGCTATTTTAGAGTAATACTGTGTTACGCACATGTCTAATAATAGGTGTCAATAAGTGGTAGACAGTATACATTGTACGAAAATCTGCTGTTAGTGGATAAAGGCGGTTCTTATCTCTATACACTGTAGTTCATTAAAAATTATGTCGGCACTGTGTAACATGTAGCTAACAATTGCTGCAGTGATAATACATGTATCGAAGAAGTATTAAAAAAAAACATCAATGGTGCAAATTCTTTAAAAACGGTTTATTATATGTCATGTATATAGTGATTGTTTAAAACTCATATGGGATTTTAATAAGTATTTAAAACTCAAACTGGAAATAAGTTATTTAATAGAAAATTTCGCATAAAATTGATATACAATGTTTTTATGATCTATATAATTTATATCCATATTAACTAACTTTTTTTTCTTCTAGACCCTTATTTCAGACAATGTAACTAAAAACAAGTCTTTCTATTATCACCCCTGCACCATGCAGAGAGCTATCAATGATGTTGATTTTCGCATCTCAGTATCAATTATTAACAGACGTAAATGCATTCATGAACTGTCTATATTCGTGTAATATAGCCTTGTTTCGCAAGGAAAGGCAGTTTACGACTGTACGTACATGTAGGACACTTAGTGGCTGAATCCACTTCGAGAGGAAAACTAATTTCTCGGAAATATTGATGACAAATATGGCGCTTTGTGTGTGCTGTGCGCAAGATATGTCGAAAATGTAAAACCTTACTTAAACGTTCTCAGTAACGGGACAGGTATGTTTGAGTTGCCGATTTGTCTGCTTAGCAACTTTATGAGCACTAAATAAAAACAGAATGAAACAATGTTTTATATCTTCATGAAAATCAGAAAATAGGGTTTCATATTTGTTCATACTTGAGATTAATATACTATCTTTTCTTTTTGGGTTGTTGATATTTTATTTTATTCCTATCAGCATGTTTTGAGTGGTAGTTGATATCATACCTAAACAAGTTAAGATTAAGCTAAAGCATCAAATGTCCGTAAAAAAAATTACCGATTCATTTTAAAGTATTTTAACAAGAAAGAGTTAAAAAAAATACTCGAGTTTTTAATGACATATTTTTATTCCGAAGAAAAAAGTATAACATTTTTATCTAAAAATGTGATATTTACAAATCAGCTACACATATTGTGAGATCAACAGAAAAGACTAATTTTCGACGCAAATACATTATAAATCATGTATATGAAAGTCAAAGATTAAAGAATAGCACTAAATGTTTTTTTCATCAAACGAAGAAGACAAATATAATATACTTATACTCAAATTGTATATATACCTATTATCTCTGACAAAACTACGAAAACTCTTCAGGTGCTAATTTCCTAGATTTTGTCAAATGTTGATGCCGATATGTTGCACAGCGCGATGAATGTGAAGTGTTAAAAATGTGTAAGGCACAGCTGTAGCATATTCAAAACAAAATGTTATAGTCTAAGTCTTATTTATCATTAATTAATACCGGCGACTGTGTAAATATCTTGCACACTCCATTGAATGTACTTCTTGTAAAATCCTTTCTATGAAATCGTAAATTTATAAATCGCTTATGAATATGAGAATAAATTGAGATATGATAAAAAAAAAAACCCAATTCAGACTGAATATCATTTTCGTTATTTTAAAGATCTTTTATTCATAACTTTAATAAATGTTATCAATAAGGATTTTTTTTTATCGATATGCAGTATTGTATGCAATAAGAAATAACATCTACATTTTCTAACAAATAAAATGACAGTCGCCAACCATAGGCGCTTGGTTTCAGTTCAAATCGGCACACGATTGAAGGGCGTTATTCAATCATTTTTGAAGCTAGATCTCATCCGACAACGGTAGGAAAAGTGTAGATATTGATTAAAATCAATTGTGAACCGAGACACCCCCTGAAATCTAAGGTGGCAACTGTCGTACCTTGGTTCTTTTTTATATACAGTTACATGATATTTTTAAAACGTGCTAATTTCAGCGATCTTCGATTTTTATTTTAATGAGTGTATTCAGACACACCTAGAAAAACACATAACACACAAAATACACCATCCATGCACCTGAAACCAAGCGCCTATGTCACCAACAGCAAATCTTCATTTTGAAACACTCGTGAACACGAAATGAATTTATTATTAAAAATTATCACAGTGCTGTAGTGTTTCAGTCTAATAAAATGAAACTGAAAGCAACGGATGTGACGATTTCTAATAACGTAAAATGTAGAGGCGCCTCGGAATTACACGAAAAGCCTAGAGAGGTCAGATTTGTTCTATCTGCATAGATTTAATGATGTTAAAGAAAAAGAAAACTAGAAGCGAGTGCTGCTCATAACGGCAAACTAGCTCTTAAAGGAACGCCGAGACGAAGAGTAAAATTCGGACTGTGCACATTGCTCCAAAATGAACTTTTTTCTATAATAATTCCGGAATTGCAATTTAACACAAATAGACAGTTTTTCCATAACTTACTGTGGTATTGCTCTTTCTTGCCATAACTAAATTAAACTTCAAAAACAAAAAAAAAGTAACTGAGTTGCTTTAATCGAATTTGCTGAGAGATAGTAAATTTGACGCTCAGGCAAAAAACTGTGTGAATTTTATCTTGACTTTTTAAATATATATTCATTTTTTGGCAAATTCTGTTGAGTGAACATGTAAAATTTGTTCCAAAAATATTAATTGACACCTGCATTTCAAATTCCTAGCGTATGATAACGGGGAAAATGCTCCGAGTAAAAATATGTAGGGCTAACATTCCAAGATATTAGATTGTGTAGATTTGTAGAACTTTCTATTAAATATCTTTCCACCACAAGAAACAGTCCCCCATAAATCTTGTTCTTTATGATTTTATGGCCAGTTTTTAAATTGAATGTTTTATAATTTGTATAATTCAAATATGTTATAGAAAATGAAATTGTAATAAAAAGTTTTGAAGTGAGAGGTTATTACTGAACTTTTCTTAAAAGCTAACAAGTGACATACCTTAAATAGCAACGTATATACGACGTCATGGGATGTCACAGTCTCGAATCTTCAAATATATCCTCGTGAGGTTTAAGTAAATGTGTATCAAACAACTGCGCTCGCCCCTAGCGTTTGCACTGTCAATATATTACTTATTCCAATACAATAGGCAATTTAAATTCAAAATAATTCTGATGAATGTCAAATTGTAAACATTGCTTAGCGCTTTCCAGTACTTTCAGTACTTTGATTTTAGTGTGTGTATGACCCACGATTTCATTTTTAAATTTCAATATACCTGGTATTAATATCTTCTTTTTTTAAAAAAAAAAAAAAAAAAAGTAACGGAGAATGTAATTTTACGAAAGAGGAAACTCTCTGCGGAGAATTTTTTAGAAGCAACCAGATATTGTTTTTTACCATAACAATCGGATCAAGGGAATTTAAGATTTTCCTTCATATTCTTATGTAAAACTTTTATTCCTT